AATGATTGTGAGGATGGCGCAGGACTAGGCAGTGTTTCGTTCTGTTGTACATAGGGTCCCTATGAGTTGGAACCGACTTGATGGCACCTAACAACAGCAACAAAGTGTTTTTAGATAAAATTAATTCATGGAAGAAGGATACTTCTGAGACTTTACATCAATTTAAAAGCATATATTAGAGCAATATGGGAGGTATGGTTTACAACAACATCATCAGCTTAAATTCTTTAATTACTTGATATTGAATCCTCTTGATAGCTCTATTTGCTCCTCTTTGCCTTCTCCCTCTACTTCTAAACCTGCTTCCCATAGTAGATACTGATGTTGGGAAGGACCTTGGTCACTGATTTGGGGTAACCATTTACATACCACGTGGGATATTAGAGATGTATTAAGAAGTCTGAACTGTCTCTGTTTCTCCAGGAGATGCAAACATCTTTAAGGAGGTCATTTAGAATTAAGTCATACATACATGTGCAATCTACTTCATAAATTTTTTCTGAGTTTTATAAGAACAGTAGTGTGTGCTTGATTAGTGTTGGAACTAAAGTGCTTTGGACATAATATGAACTGTTTTTTTTTAAGTAAACGATGTATTATTTCAAGTTACTGCATCTTTAATAATCCATGTATCTTTGCAGATAACACGTATGTGTCAAGTTCAGAAAATGATGAAGATGTATTAGTTACTACAGAGCCAATTCCAGTAATTTTTCATCGAATAGCAACAGGTAATGGGAATACAAATATTTTCTCTTCTAGGTTATTTTTATGTATTTTTTTTTAATTATAGGTAGCTTTTTTTTTTTTTTCCCTTAACAACTATGATATTTATTTTCAGCATCGGTAAATCTGGTTCACCATACAAATTTTCTATTTAAAGTACATTAGTGTGTATTTTTCAAGTTTCTTTGACTGCATAAATTTACTGTTTAAGTGCATCATGTTATTTGCTGTTCTGAAAATACCTCCAGTGCATAGTGACACTGCTAGACAAATGGAATATTTAAAAAGCACGTTTAGGGCAAAGTGGATACCATAAAATATGTAATGAGAGCTGCAGGATTCTTCACTTTGACCACATTTTCATGGACAATGAAAAGTCAGACTAGCCTGTGAATTTTGTAACACTGCAGCATGTTATAATTTCAAAATATTAATTAATTCTCTTGCAAAGGAGAGCATCACCTAAAGGTGTTTTTATACTGAAAGTCATTAATATTTGGTGAACAGCCACTGAAAATGAAAAAGATTTTTTAACTATAATTTTCTTTCAGAATTAAGAAAAACAAATGACATTAACTGTTGCTTATCCATAAAGTCAAAATTACAGAAGGAAAATGGGGAGGTATGTAAATTATATTTTATATTTCTTCAGAACAACAGATATACTTTAAATTTGCTGTGTATTTGTAGTTAATATCACTATTGTTATTTAGATTTAAGTTAATTGAATATGAATGAAATGAAACTCAAGCTTCCAGCTTAGGGATTTTTTGTGTAGTAAGGAGAGTGCCCTAAAGTTAACCCTGAGAAGGACAGTCTCTTTAAAATAATAGAAAAGAATGTCTGGTTTAAATATAAATAAAATGCAGAACAACTTACTGTCTTCTTTCATCAAATAATGTAGTTGTCAGAGGAACACTTACATAACTTACATGACTATACATTACCATGAGTGCAATTCAACCAACACTTCTTTGCTTTAAAAACTATAGACTTGATAGAACATTCCCTCCCCATTTCTACTGTAGCCATTCTTCACTAAAACCAAAAACTGGTAGCATTTTATAAAACCCAAATTCCCTTTTCTAGGTTTTTTGTTTTCCTAAGAATTTGCAATTCAGTCTAGAAATTTATAGATGATTACAAAGCATTGGATGACTGGATCCTTGTGTCCAAAGGAAGCTACTTTTCTCCTGACTACGTTTATGGGACCAGGGATAGAAATACCACCATTAGCTTAATTAATAACTTGTTATTTCAGATGAATTTTCATTATTTTCACTTCAGACACATAACAGATGTGGCTCAGTTAATTGGAAACCCAAACTTAAAGCATATTTAAAGAAATAGTGTTTTGAAATCTGAAATACAAAACAAATGATTTCTATAAACTGAAACTGTTCTCTTCATAATGTGATTCTTATTTCTTTTCACAATTTGATTTACATATTATTGGATTTGAAGTGTCTTTTCTTTCATTCCATTGTGTAGAGTTGTCTTGGAAGTGAGAACAGTCTGGGATAAATAATGCTGAGGACCTTTTTAAAAAAGATTCAATCAGTGTATGAACTGATTAAATGTTTAATGAAGATAAAAACAAAGGTGTAATTGCTTATACTTAAGTTTTTAATATACATCAAATATTAAATTGCACAACTCACTCAAAGGTCAGTGAAATAGAACTTTAAAAAAAGATGAACATAGAACCTGATGTGCCCACAAAACTGTTTACCTCTTATGACCTTTTTTGGATTGTATTGTACCAAGAATGTTTTTATATGTAATCCACGTAATCTACACAAGATGTACCTATTACAATAATTTATTACGTTCATTAGAAAGGAGGCAAGCTAGTTTGACTATTAAAATTGTCTTTTCACTCCATTATTTTAAGGAGTCAAGACAGAATAGTACAGTGGAAGAAGATTCTGAAGGTGATAATGACTCTGAAGAATTTTATTATGGAGGACAGGTAAGCAAAGCTGACCTAAATGTGCACTGTCAAGTTTAGCAATACCCATATATATCCTAGTGAAAATCTGTGCCTGAGAGTTAAGAGACCTGTGTGTTGGTCATGGTTCTGTTACTAAGTAGGAAATATATATAATTCATATGTTTCTCATTTTCTACATATTTTCAGAAATTAAGGTTAGTTTTGCAATTCTTTTGTTAACTGTAATCATTCGTTACATTGAAGTTGACTTCTTTGCAGAGTTTTTTTTGCAGGCAACAAAATTTTTTATGCTTTTAACTCTTACACTTCTTAAGCATATTATACTTGGTCAATATTTTGAAATGATGACACCTCAAACAAAAGCATAGAAGATAATTAACTGTTGTAAAAACGGAGTTTCTAATTATTGATGATTTTTGTTATTATTTTATTTTTATTATTATTCCACTTTACCCCCATATTAATATAAAATATTTGTTGAAAAACTATGTTATGATGAAACATCATATATTAAATACACAAAAATAGTATATCTATACATGTATAGATGTGCATAGTGTGTGTTATATATACGTGTATATATACATATATGTATATGTATGCATGTATATATATAAAAGCACCCATCAGAATTTTCAGGATAATGTTAAAATTTAAAACTGAGCAATTCATTTTAATGTATGGCTCTATAATATGCCTTATTCTATTTCTGTAAACCCCTTAATCAAATATGTTTTATAATTTGGATAATATAATAGGAGGGTACTCTGTTAAAGAGAGCTATTAAAGCCAAAGTTGTTGTTATGTAAAATAATGCAAATGAATTTATTTCTTGGGAATCAAGGATTAGTAATTTGTCAGTCAAGGATTTTTGAGGCAGTAGAGATAATGGAAGGTGCCCTGGTGTTCAGTGGTTAAGCGCTGGGCTGGTAACCAAAAGGTCGGCTGTTCTAACCCACCAGCTGTTCTCCGGGAGAAAAGTGTGGCAGTCTGCTTCCATGAAAGCTATGAATAGGAATCAACTTGACAGCAGTGGGTTTGGTTTTGATTTAATGGAGGTAAATAAAACTAGATTTTTTTTCTCAAGGATTATTTCTTTAGCAGTGGGATATTTTTCCTAATAAAATGATTCTTTAAACATTATACCATTTAAATATTTATGCAAAAGAATTCTTCCAGTTTTGCTTTCTTCAGGAAATATATATTTGCATGTCTCATTTGTTTACACAGCTAATTCTTACAGAGGAGAAGTAAATGGCTTCCTTTAATCTGGATATTCAGTTCAGAAGTTTTCCAGATTTTCTGCCAAGCACTTGTTTTATTTCTTTTTGACATCTTCATTTTCTTTGTGTTAGAATATTTTAATTTTACTTTTTTAACATAATGAATTATTCTAGATGTATGTGAATCTAAAAACTAGTGAATGCATTGCCAAATTATCTTTTTTCTTTCTTTATAAATCTGACACAGAAAATATCCATAGCAGAGCCCACAGGGTGATCTGTCCAAGAGCATGTTTGTGTTTTGATTCTTTTGAAGTCATTTCTAAATCATCCCTTTTCATCAGGTGAACTATGATGGAGAACTGCACAAGCACCCACAGCTAGAAGCTGATTTGTCCGCAGTGAGAGAGCTATACGGGCCACATGCAGTTTCTCTCAGGTAAATAAATAACTTGGGTGAATAAAAATTAAAATAATTAGTTAAGTCATTGGGATTTCCTATTGGAGTAATTTTTCTTGGGATTAATCATATCTGAAAGTGCTTGAGAGAGATTCTATTGTGTTTCTATTTGTAGAAAATAGCATATTTATGGCTGTATATATGTATTTTTTCGGTACATGTGATTCAAGATTACATTGATTGCATTAAAGACACCAGTTATTTTGGAGAGTTAGTTTAATGAAATATCAGTCTTAAATAATGTCATAATTATTTCTAGTAATAGATTTAGCCGTCTGAGCCCATGTTGAACAATACAGTTAAGTGTATAACCACTTGTACCCAAACCACATCGTGATATGTGATCTGAACCTTAAAAAAGAAAAGGAAAGAAAGATAAAAAGAAGACATAATTTTGCATAGTGTTTTATTTGAATGATAATGTTTACTTAGTATTTTATTTGATGATAAACTTCCAGGACATTTTAAAATTACTTTTAATCATCCAAAGATTGCACCATCCTTATTTACTTTTCTTTTCTCCCTTAATGTAAGAAAAACACATTTACTGCCCTCATAATAGCTTCTAAAAGTCAGATCTGATTATTTCAGATTCCTGTTTAAATTCTTTGAATGGATCCTTGCCTACAGGGCAGTCTCCAAGTGAGCATGGAATTCCAGACCCCTCTCACAGCCTGACCTCAGTCTCCCTTGCCAGTCTCTTATCCACCCAAACCAGAATTATCCCTGTTCCCCAAATACACCATATTCCCTCTTGACTTTGGGCATTTGCACAAGCTGTTCTCTTGTCAAGGAATGCCTCCTCCCTTCAGGACCCATTCCAACGGTCATCTTTTCTCTGGGCCTTCTTTGAATCTCCAATGCAGATTAGTTATTCTACCCCTTGGCCTCCCATCAAATTTGGCTCTTGTGTAATATCCTTCTTGTGTCTTGTTGTCATTATTGCTTGACTTCTCCTCCTCTAGGTTGTGAATTCTATGAATGCTGGGGTAATGGTTTTTGTTGCTTGTTGTATTTTTGTTTTTAATCATTGTTGTATTCCAGTACTTATATAGCATGTGGCATACACGGAATACAGGCTGTGAGTTCTTGATTGTTTTCAGTGGCAACATCCATGAAAGAAGTTGATGTTGTCTCATTACACTCTCTTCAGTGGACATATCCAGATTTTGAGAGGGCAAACAAATGCTTTTAATTCAGAATTACACCACAACTATAATTTACAATTGCCAAATGATTCATTTTAACTGCAGAAACAGAAGCTCACTACCACCTACAGCATAAATAAGCTGGGGTTGTGTATACGCCAAACCTCTCTCGCCCACCCATGAATGGATGTCAGACTACAGTTGAGTGAGAGTGATGTGATTATATTTGGAAAAGCAAATCTTTGCAAACTTTAGCAAATCAGCTGTGATCTTCTCTGAGATCAGCTCAGAGATCTTCTGTAGCTGATCTCTGCTATAGCTCCAGGATACAGAATATGGAAATTCAGTAGATGTTATAGAATGAATAAATAAAGAGGGCAATAGAGATTATCAATAAATAGTCCAAAACAATTGCTGTTTAAGATTTTAATTACCTTTACTTGGAAGTATAATATTTTGTTTTTAGGTACCATATTTTGATTCCCTACAAACAAAACAAGTCTATGGGATATTGTTAATAATTATGATACATCATAGTATTGGACTTACATATTCATCTGAAATGCATATTTTGTACAGAAGATTATTTTAGCACGTTGGTTGCTTTTATGGTTAAAATTTTTTCTTACACTTTCTTTTCCATGTTCTGTAGGCCCCAATCCTACTGCCATGTATATGAGAGTTTTTCTGTTTTTTTCAGCATTTATTAAGCACCTATGATTATCCATATTAGTATTTTCTATCATTAATAAAAATATTAATAATTATCAGCTATTGAAATCAGAGAAATATTTGAATTTTTTTAGAAAATGAAATATCAAAACTCATAAATGGTTTTGATTTTTCCTTGCCTAGTCCCTTGTTTGTAACAGTTTTGATCCAGTTTAAATCTTAATGAATGCAAGTCACGTTCTTGCCTGCTCCAGATTTTCTCTAGCTACAGAAGATGTTTCCAGAATAAATAACCTCCCAGAGTCCTCATGGTATAAAGGTGAATCACAGCAGAACTAGTTTGATTTACTTAAAATAAATCAGAAAGAATTTACTCTCTAGTCTCAAATACTGAGTCTCAAAATAGGGATAGTTAGGCATAAGGTCTTGGAATCATCTTCATTGCAAAGTTCTAAGTCTATTGAAAACAGACTGTTTTAATTAGATGTTCTTTTACTTAATTGAAGCTTATAAGAACTTAATGGAGTTTGAAGAGCACAAGTACCTCAATACGCACAATAGGCTATTTAATGTCATTTTGTTTAACATGACATCTAATGAGAAGGGCAGCTAAGTACATCTAAGTTCTCTATAAGAGATGGAAATAACTGCAATTGCCTAGACTGAGGCAAAACACCCTTACTTAGATTAAAAGAGGATATAGAGAAAGTGGCTGGTAATAGATTTAATATTAAAAAGTTTAAGTAGATAATGCCAGCCGTACCTGGCCATACCACACAGAAGCAGAATACTGGATGTGTTGAACCATTCAGATTTGTAGGCTCTTCTATAGGAGGTACATTGGATCACTGGGGAAATGTGATTAACCCTATGATCAGTCTGACCATGTCTTGTCTTGAATCATGAAGATTTTATGTTTTTCTTTGTAAAAGTACTTCCATAGTCATGAATTTATAAAGAAATAATGATCAGTGCCATCTGTTCACAATTTAAGATTAATATTTTCAGAAAGATGGAAATTATGGGTCATAAAATTCTCATTTTGTTGGGAAAGAAATGATTTTAGTAATTTTCTTGTGAAATTTAAAACTTCCATCCCAGATAAAACATTTTTACCTTTCTGATCATACCATCTTTCATTTTTAAAATTGAAACCATCTGAGTAATAGTTCAACCTTTTTATTATGAGTAACGCTTAATGCAGACTGGGAGATCGAAAGTTTTGGGATTGTTCTGCCATTCAGTCACTTGTGTTGGGTGAATAATTTTAATAGGGCCATTTGGAGTTGATGTTTTGGAGGATAAGGGAGTATTGAGGAATTTTTGGTGGTTTGAGGAGACTGTATTACTGTACTCAAGCCCACCACCCAACACTTATGTCCAAAAATAAAAGAAGAAGAAAAGAAAGAAAAAAGCCACACAAATCAGGATGGACTAGTTTAATTTCTCTGGATTTCCATTGGTAGTGGCTACTGGGACTGCTTATGAATCATCTGGTTCTCCTCTTCTAGGTATGTGGTAGGATTGTACTACCCTGCTGCCTTTAAGGTTAGGCATGGACACACAACTTGCTTGGTCAGTGAAGTGTGAGCAGAAGTCCACTGTGTGTGAGTTCCCATGTTCCCCAGCCTTTGTCATCTTGGGTCGTCCCTTAGTGACTGTAGTAAGATGTACCTCCTTACCATTCCATGTCAACTAAGTAGCATGAGTTGGCTATAAATCCTTTTTTTGTGTTAAGCCACTGAGATTTTGATGGTGTTTATTACCACAACATAACTTAGTCTATGTTGAAGGATATCATTCATCAAAAGATCTTGGACTGAGTGTTGTAATATCCTTTCCAGCATATTAATTCCCTGCCCTCTGCCTCTAGAGGCTAGGAGAGAAAACATTCTGACCCTGAATATCAAGGGAAAGTGATGACAGGAGGCACACAGAGGAAGCAAACAAAGAGGAGAGTGTTTCCCCCAAAACACTGGCACATAATCTAGATGTAAGCTTTAGATGCTCAGATCCCGGACAGTCACCTCTGCTCTCAGAACCTGTACTTGGTTCAAGCAAGGATTATTAAACTCAGGGCAGCCTAGTAGCAATTGTTAATACTGTACTTCTTATGCACCATCTTATATGAGCTTCCTTCATTAACTGGATCTAATTTTTAAATTCTTCTCAGCCCCGTTGTCCTTTAGAGAAATTTGTAGCTACCTTGGATACAGTCTTGGAAATGCTTTAATCTGCCAAGATTTCTTCCTGGCTATTAAATTTGCATATTTCTTGGCCCATTCACAAACATTTCTCCCACACTAGGCAAAAAACACACATTGAGTAGGCATGCAGAGATAGACGTTGAAGCTGTTGAGCTTCAGATGCCATTAAATAGTGTGTTTCTTCACAAATATCTTTCTTCTTAAAATATAACTGTTGTTAAAAGCAGAGATAACTAAATAGTAATAGAGGCTTATTACCCAAGAACTAGGTTTTTTTTTTTTCTTGTGATAGGGTTTCATGTATGCATATGTGTATGTATACATGTAATTTCCTTGAAAGTTGATAAGGAAAGGCTAGATATCTAAAATATTTTATTATTATAAACAGCACAGTTATTGCTAATTTGTATCAGATTGTATTATAAAACATCACAACAGCATATTGAATAGTTATACAGAGAAAGGAGGACCAGCACTGACGACCTACCATTTAATATATTATTGTGTATCTGTGTCTTATTAAGAAGAATTTTATCTGGAATTTTTTAATTAAAAATAAGAGAACAGATTGGCAAGAATGCTTACACAGAGTGCCCTCAAAAATACAAGCTCATTGAAAAAAATATTTCATACATATGCTTTTTTTTTTTTAAATAGTGATAAGTATACAACCTCTCTTCACTTATCGACATGGTTAGGTTCCAAAGACCAGGTCATTAACTTGTAATCAGCATTGTGCAAAAATGGAGGATGACCACATCAGATCACATAATTGAAGATGACTACATCATTATGTAACTGCCAAACCACTGAGAATGATGGCCCCGTCAAGTTGACACATAATCTTAACCATCATAGCCAGCACTACTTACACCTAGCACCTTGGCATTCATTACTGCCAGATGTATGTCATTAATGCAAAAAATAGTCAGATAGTAGATTTTCGTACTAT